TCTGTCCCTGTTGCTTCCTTTTTCCCCTGGGGTTTTCACTGCTCTCTAAGGACATCTTCACTCTTGAAGCATCTTTGTGCCTATGTAGCCTTGGGCTCTGCTGGGAATTCCTATTGGGAATTCCCCCCACTGGGAATTCTGCCACTGGATTTCAAAGGAACCAGAACCATAATGCTCTTTATTAATATAGGCTTTTCTGTCATGACTTTTAGGCCCCAATCCAGCCAAGCAGGCAAGCACATGTTTAACATTAAACACATGAGTAGTCTCCATTCACATGCTGCAAGCAAAAAACACTCATTAGTGCTGGATTATGGCCCCAGCCGGGCTGCTCCTGCACCTCAGCTGGAGAGCTGGGCTCTGGGGAAGGTGGCACTGAGACCTTTCGCTGAGGTGGCACCACCACATCCCCTCATCACTGGACCACTGCGCCCAATGGGCCATCAATCGCTCTACGGGAAGGGTCATCCCTAAGCAAGGCTTTCTTAAACACAGATATTTGCTCAGATCTGTGCCAAAAATCACAGTCCAGACTAATCAGTCTATCATTCTTGGTTAAAATAGCCCAGATGAAAAGATACCTATGTATAGATTTTTTAAAAATGTTTTTAATACTCTTTTCTCCCCCCGAAATCATTACCTACTTCAACTTCTCAAGAAGTATAAGCATAATGTCTTTCCTGCTTCCTCTGGAATCATCAGGTCATTGCAGATATCAAAATTAATGAAGACATGAAAGATTCAGCAGAAGAGCAAAATCTTACTGGAAAACTATTCCTTAATATCAAAAGCAATTCAGGAATAATCATCAGATCTAGAAGAAAAATAAACCAGTGTGAAAGTCCCCTTGCCTGAAAGAACACATATGAAGGCAGACATAAGACTGTTGAGCTACTCTGCTCTTTAAAGTAAGCATTAATCATTTTTCAAAAGTAGTATTTCCTTGGGCTTTTGGGGCTTTACATGACTACAGAATTGGCTATGCTGCATTTCTGCTGCCTAAATTTTAACAATATCCTAAGATCAGTTAAACTCCAAAGCAGAAAGGAGGCTCTCACTTTTCCCCTGGGGACAGTGGTAGGAGCAGTGCTGCAAGCAGTGGCCTTTGGGGTTATCCCACAAAAAAGAGTTAGTTCCTCTAAAATCTCCCTGTGTTTAGCACTTGGGAATGGTTACAGCTAACTTGAAGATGTTTTTTTAAATCTCTAATACATAAAATCCTATTTGCCTCTCATTTTGTTACTGTCTATGAAAATGAAGAACCAAAAAAAATCCTAGATTTTCTTTGAGCAGGGACTTCAATAATTTGGTTAATCTCTTTTGTTAGGAGACAAAGGTACCTAATGTCTTTGTGATATATGCTGTCATTTCTCCTTGGCAGTAGCTTTGCAGCTTGTACAAATACGGGATAAGAGCTTGTAGCCTTTAGCTGTATATGCCATACTATGACTTGATTAAGCTGGACTGTTATAGGATTCTATTGGAAATAAAATGTTTTTCAGAAGCCTTATTTTAAATAGTTTTGGAAAATATACTTTCTTAGTCATACCTGTACAACAAGAAGACCTACTGGCAATTCAAATATTGTAACAGAAAATAAGAATAAACAGTATATGAGATTCTTTGCCACCCCCATATTACCATTAGGATAAGAGAAATCGATATTAGTTCCAATACGAATGAAGTGTTGGACTGAGTGAACAGGGAGCTTTGAAATAAATATCTAAGAAATGTTTAGATGAAATGGACATCTTTACAGACATTTGGTCTGCATTTCTGAAATGCAGATGATTAAATCCATATTGTTGGCTTCTTCTCCCTCTGCACTATGTCTTTCTTTACATCTTGCAAAAAATTTATGAACAAAGTTATTGTAAATCTGCAATGTCTGTCTTGTCACTTAGATTCTTTTCAGAAATGCTGCCTTGCCAATGTAGATATACAATCCTGTATGATTAATATTTATTACTTATGAATCTAAATACAATGGAAGGTCACCAAAAATACCCCGCATGAAGGAGTCTGGAGCCCTTTAAAATCTCACTGGTGATGGATCCTGAGTCTTGAAAGTCGAGCTCAAAATCTCAGCAAAACACTTTTCTATGTAGGATTTCCAGTATTTCCTGCTTCTGACTACAGCTAAAGCCAAAAAGCACAAAGGTGAGCAAAAGTTACAGATCTGAAAACATGAGCTTGGATTTCAAATGCAAACAAAGGTCAGAGAATGCCTGAACCTGTCCATAATCTTGGATCAACCCATTATAGGGTTATGAATAAAATGCAAAGTTAGGCTGCAGAGCCAGACTTGAATTCCCACAGAATGGGCACTGTAGCTGATCAGAAACCTCTTTCATTTTCCTCTTTTTTTTTCATATCCATCAATACATTTTAGCTGAATGTATGCAGGAGTTTTTGGAAAATGAAAATATTTAGGTTTTGTATAACTAATTAAAAAACTAGGTAGCTTGGGAATTTTCACCTTTTATAATAATCCTAAATCCTAATAATATTTAACAAACATGCAAATTATCTTATGAAATGCTCACTGCATTGAAAACTCATTTTCTGTTATAAACATAATCATAACTTGTGAACATCAATTTAAAAAATACATAATTTGAGGTTTGATTTGGCCCTCTTTTAGAAAAATGAAATTAGGGTATATTAGAACACTTTGGAATCACAAATTCAGCAAATTGGTGAAGACTCAAAGAGATGGAAGAAATCAGGAGAGACCCTGAACTGGTTCACTTACCCTACCTGAGATCTGCTGCATGTTTGTACAGTCTTTTTTAAGGAGCTATATATATAATAAGCACAGAGCAAGAAGCTACAACTGCCTCTGCTTCTTCAAAGATCACTAGTAATGGTGATTAAGCAAAACCACTAATTAAAATACAAGCCTGGAACATAACAACTGAGAAATATGCAGACTCCGTTGATCAGCATGCTCTTAGTTACACCATACTGAAAGTAAAAAACCCAGGTGACCTTTAATCGGAAAGCAGACTTTTCATTAGAAATGAATTTGCAGAGCATTGGCAATACTAATTTGCTAAACAGACAGAACACCCAGTGGGCTGGGTGAAAACAAAAACAGAAAGACAGACAGAAAGGACTGAGTTAATTAAAATAAATAAATAAATAATCAAGTTAATTAAAAAAAAATCATAAATAACTCCAATCCCATAAAGAGTTGGGTTTTTTTCTTTCCTTTTTTTCACCCTTTCTTTCTTTTTTTTTTTCTTTTAACAAGCCACATATGCTTATCCAGACATTTTTAATCTCATTAGGCTTTTTTGGCTGTTATTAGCGTTCTCCAAGCCAGCTGATTTCTCAGCAATATTTTTAAGAGCGTGAGCCTTTGCCCTCCAGTCTAGCCGTTGTTAAAATGTCCCATTCTATGGGAAGATGTGGGAGTTCATGGATTTTCTTCCAAGGTTTGGGAAAGTTCAGACCAAACTGATGGGCTGCCTGTGAAACAACCAGCTACGAAGTGTCTTCAGGGTCAACAAGCAACATTCTGCTCCCGGTTGGGTCAGGATGAAAAGCAGGATAATCCCACCAAACCAATAGAATTACTCCAGGTCTCATGAGCATTCTAGGGCAGACGCAGGCTTTATATTGTGCCTCCAGTCCTCCAGGTTTCTGCGTGCAAACAAGCCTGTTGCAGGAGTCCTCCACGTCACAGCTCAGCAGCATTCGCTTCCCCTGGAAATCAGGGCAACTCTTCACCGCTCTGATCAGAAGGGGAACCCCTCCGTGCTAGAGCTCAGCTTTATTTTATTATTGTATCTTTGTAAACAACTATAAAAGCCCTCAAATTGAACGCTGAGAGTCATGTATACCCCTGTAAATACTAGGGCAAGTGAGTTTCACACAAAAGAGCTGTCATTCTAAATCTGCTAAATTAATGTGCAGCTGGTCACTAGTTTAAAGCAGATTGCATCATGCAGATGCTACAGACAGGACAAAATAATCAGCTTCTGAAAGCAGAATCAACAGCCATTCAACCTGGACTGATAAATCCTGGAGGAGTGTGACAAAGGTGTCATGCATGCATGGATTTCTGCTAGCATTTTTGCCAATTTGCTGCCTGGGAATGTGCCTGCTTTTAGCCTGCTCTCCTTGAGACTCGCAGAGCAATCTGCTCCCTGGAAAGGAAGATGAGTTGTTGAAAGTGACCCATCCAAAGCAGTGCAAAGCAGAAAAGAGTGCTTCTCCTGTCTGAAATGTGTATGTAGCAATATATTTCTCTTGCCCGCCCAAGTTTCCCAAAATAGCAATATAAAAGAACCAGCAGCCATACAGTTGGTATGATAATATCCTAAATGGTTTCATTAGTTGTGCCGATCAGCCTGTTCATTCGAGTCAATACACTGCCCACACTACTGTTGGGTCTCAGTGTTCCCAACAACCTGCAGATCTACTGGGGATATTAGCACCACTCTTCCAAGGGTCAATATTCCTGCTCAATATTCCTCTAAACATTTGGATCCAAAAGCAACAAGTAAATTTTAAGCAAAGTAGCATCTGCAAATCTGACATATTCGTTCAGGCTTTCCTCACTTGCACCAAGTTAAAAATAAATACCTTATAAACTTCTGGGCCCACTAAGAGAGAAGATGCATTTCAGAGGGTTTCTTTTTAAATATAACTGCTAGGAGGATATCTCCTTGGGCATCAAACTCTTTTTTTGCCCTCACTCACATTGTGCCCTGCCTCGAGGATCCCAATAGCAGTGAATAGATCACACTAGAAAAATGCATCCTTGAAATAACCTAGAGAAGAACCAGTCTGATATGTTACTAAATGACTTATTCGAAATTTCAGCTAATATCTTATTTTAAAAACTACAAATAAAACACGGTGTGAGATACTCCAGCATGAAGCAAGAAACTAATAAGGTGGATTCATTTCCAATACTGATTGTGAATAATACTAGTTGTGCCAGATACTAGGTTCAGATTTCAAAGGGCTTCTACTCCCCACCGGAGTTGCCTTTGCTTTCTCCAGGGAAAAGCAGATTTGTCCCAGATCAATACACTTTCTATGGGTGGAATCATAGGGATGCTGACCAGATAGCATAATGATAAGAATATCTTAAGGCAACAAGGATAAGTCTGTAAAATGGGGATCTCTCGGGGAAAAAGAGCCTCTGCCAAGATGAATTAGGATTTGCTGAGCCGCTTGGCCACGTCTGCATAGGCTTGCTCGATTTCTTTGTCTGCAGCACAGGTATTGGTGAATTCATCCCTGGCATAAGCGTTCTTCAGGTACCGCCACAGCCCCGTCATCTCTGTTGGGAACTCAAAGTTGCGATATTTCTTTGCAACAATCTAAAACAAAGACAAAACAGAAAATAAAAGCAACCTGCTGGTGATATTTCTCTAGACTCTTTTTTTTGGTCAGCTTCTTACTCTTTCTTGTCACATATTTGCACAGGAGAGAAACGCTTGGAGGCTCAGAAGCTTATAAAAGAAGACTTTGAAGAGGGACCATTTGTCCATCCCTACCTTGCAAAGGTGCTACTTGACCTGAGCACACTCCTGTGCAATTGCCTGGAAACTATGACCAAATTAAGGCCTTTTATGTTACCTAAAGACGTAATTATTTTTACAATAATATTTTTGGCGCTTTCAACCATATTTATGTAGGTGTTGGCTGAGGTGCCAAATGAGAGCCAATCAGCTGAAAGCTTAAAAGGAAGATAGATTTAAGGTAAAGGTATCAGTAACAACTAAAATAAATGTGTATTTTGCTTGGCTGGTGATGTCAAACAATTTAATCCCCTACAGCTGTTGGAAGTATCTATCCATGATCATGCACAGGAAATATCCAGGGTGGTATGGGTCCCATGATGGAGAAACCAAGATGATTTAGCAAACGTTAAAAATAAAAGTATGAGGATAAACTGGGGAAAAAAGTGATTATTTAAAGACTTGTTAGACTAGGAAATTGTCTATCAAGGGAAATTCTCAATTACTAAAACACTCATGTCCTTATTCAGCAAAATATTTAAGTGCATACTTAATTTTAAGCACCTGTATAATACCACTGAAGTCAATGGGACTAATTTGCGCTTAAAGCTAGTTGGCTGGTCAAGTAGCTTGCTGGATTGCAACATTTCAGTTTTCCTGTAAGAATATACCATATCAGACAACTCTGTGCTGACAAAATAAAATAGCTGATAGGAAGGGATGAATTAGATAATTTAATGAATGCTTCCAATCTCTAATCTTTCTGACAGTATAAAATTGTTCCTGGGCATAAATTACATACATATGTGCCACAAAGTTCCCCTATATTTTTAAAGTACATGGTAGACTTGTTTTCCATCCCAAGTTTCTTAGGACAGTCATGTTCTCAAAAACGATTATGATTTGTTTTTCTTACCATGATCCATTTTTTCATAAGCAAGGTCAAATTCTGCCTAAATTGCATTTAATTAAACATTCTTGCCTTCAATGATATTACACACAGGGAAGATAAAACACGCTGGCAATTTAAGTCAGTATTTTCACAATTTCCAGCAAGCATCTTTCATCAAATGAGAAAGTCTTTATAATTTACCTTTCTCTTCTGCCTGTAAAACACTTTTCAGACAATATCTTATGGTTATTACAGTTCTCCCATTTGAGAAAGTTTTTAACTATCTTTTGACATCTTTCTTTTTATCTCAAGCAATCAGGAAGTTGTAAGGGATCACACAATGGTTTTGCATTGTCTGACTCCAATGTCATCGGTGAAACTGAGCCAAAGAAAAAGCCAAACCTGTGAGCATATGATCACATTTCTTAACTGGAGACTTGGGCTTTTTTTTTTTTCCTTTCTTTCTTTTTCTTTTTACATGTGTTCAGACAGCTCACATGGCTCAGTTTATACTTTGGCTCATGCAGCCAAGTTGGATACATGACTTGGCTTTACTTCCTAGCTTACTTAATTGCCCACGTCAGGGTCAGCCAGGTACTTGCTATATTCTAAAGAAACATGTTATTTGTGAAATTAAATAAGTAGGATGATGTACATCATTTGCACTGTGCAAGTGACCATGTACATCATGAATCCTGGCTCTCAGTGGTGATGCTGATTTGTTAACCTCTCTTTATAGAATATCAACAGAAACAAAATCCCTGCCAAAAGATGCACTGCTGTTCTCAAATTACAAGCGCATGGGAACCGACGAAGTTTGACATCACTTTTAAGAATAATGGGATCTAATTGATATGAAACACTGAGCTGTTACTTGCATCAGGGTGATAATAAGAGACAAGGACACTTTTATGGTAACAGTGTCTTTGCTGCTAACCCATGACGTGACCTACTGTGTCACTCTGGTTCCCTCTGTACCAAGTAACAAGTTGCCTAAGTTAACCAATAGGAAATACTTAGGCTGAAAACCTGTGTTTCAAATTCTGATCTTCCAGGACTTAAGATACACTTGCTAATACACATGTTGGCTTTATGCTTAGTTGCCAGAATGATGGAAGAAATCTTCACTGTACTCATTTTATCTAATCTGTGTACTTGTTCATCCATTCTAGTTAGTGCAGGGAGGAAAGACCTGGGTTTCACAAAGCACAGTGGTCTTCTGCACATCTCTCAGTGCACATTGAGCGGGTGGCCATGTCTTTTTACAGGCTGTTTTCTTTACCTATACAGTTAGGTATCCTATAGAATAGGTGGTATAGAAGGTTAGGTGGTATAGAAGAGCTAGTATAGATAGGTTAGGTATAGAAGGTGAATTCTCAAGAATTACTGGAGAGCCGAGTCAGATCCTTAAATCTTACATACACCCAAAAGAAAATGGATTTTTTGGAAAACAAGGAAAGTTAACACTGAAAGGAACCTTTACACATTGCATAATCCACCTTTATACTTTTGGGCAATGCCTAAAAAAAGATGCAATACTGCATATATCAGACTCATTTATGTAGAAAGTAAGTGATTGGCAGATAAAGCAGCAGCAGCATTGATTGGCCTCAAAAGTACACATATGAATGAGGGCATAAGTGATGTCAGAGAAGATTTCTTTGTCACTTGCCACCTTTTACCTTAACAACATGGAGTTTGGGCAGAAGGTTGCAGTCAGCAAGAGTCAGGTCATCTCCATCCAGGAATCTGCGTTTAGACATCTTCTCCTCTTCAGTGCTGTTTGCATCAATCTCCTCAGGTAGAGGGGTTCTCAGATAGTCATCCAGCTTCTTCAAGGCCTTCACCAAACCTTTTTCAAGGGCTTTGTCAAAAAGTAATAAACGATTAGGACACGGTAGGAATTATTTGGGAATGCACATTATCAATGGCTCTGACAATACTTGGAGAAAAGGCAAGAACCATTTCTTTGTTGTTAGTTGCCTGAAAGTGAAGGTAACCCTCCAAAGGGAAATGGCAATACAGGCAGCTGCTATGCAATCTCATCTCCTCCTAACTAGCAGAAAAAGAGATTGTGGAAGAAAAGAATTGGTTGTCAGTACGATATTTCCTGCTACACATTTGCCCTATGGTGTTTTTTTGGTTTCTTGAGGCCATCTCACAGTAAGTTGGAGCCCTGCACAAATTATTTTTTCTAAGCAGTCAGGTGGGACTTTAGGTCTAAAAAAAATTGTGGGTTTATAACTTTTAAACCCCTTCCAGATTAATTAAAAGCAATAGCAATAATTCCAATGACGCTAGCCAGAGATCTATGGTACTGGATTCCCTCAATAAGTTGGAAGATACACAACAAGTGAAATAAAAGTAATGTGATGATAAACAAATAAAGAGTTACACAAAACAGATGAAATACTTAAACAGTTTTAAGATTCTCATTACTTTGGGTCCAATTGGGGTGCAAATTCTTTTTTTTTTTTTCATATGTCACAACAGAAAAGAGACTTTGGACCTCTCATTTCAAGAACTGCTCAAGCTGCAGCTCCAATGAACTCCAGACATAAAATGTCACCTAGATATAGCAGTATGCTGTAGAGTGATTTTTTTTTTAATTTATCAAGCTTTTTTGTTGTTGTTTTCCATCAGGATTGTACAAACACATGGCTGGTAACAATACATTCATGGAAAGTTGAATGAGTGTGCAAGTTATTCAAACTAAAAACACTCTGGGGCAAGAAGGATCTTTTGCTTCTGTGTTTGCAGGGTGACTAGCATAATGGAGTTCTTGCTCCCAGCAAGTGTCCCAAAGTGCTAAAACAGTATGAACAAGAAACAGCAAGAATTTACAATGTGAAAAAATAACAACATGACTCATGGGCTTAGGGCCAGAGTTTCAGCTGGTGAAAATTACCTGCAGTGATTTATACCTGCTGCAGATCTGGACCAGATTCAGCATTTTAGGCCTAATCCTGCTAAATCTTATACCTCTGAGTAACTTACTGCCTGTTCAGCCTGGAGAAGAGAAGGCTGAGAGGAAATCTGATCAGTGTCTATAAGTACCTCAAGGGAGCAGTGCGGAGGATGGTGCTGGCCTCTTTTCACTGGTGGCCACCGACAGAACAAGAGGAAATGGCCACAAACTGAAGCACCAAAAGTTCCACAGGAACTTAAGGAAAAATTTCTTAGCAGTGAGGGTGACAGAGCCCTGGAACAGGCTGCCCAGAGAGGTTGTGGAGTCTCCTTCTCTGGAGATCTTCCAAACCCGCTTGCACACAGTGCTGTGTCACGTGCTCTAGGTGACCCTGCGTGTGCAGGGGGGTTGGACAGGATGACCTCTAGAGGTCCCTTCCAACCTTAATGATTCTATGCTAACTTAGAGGAGACTACTCAATATGTTGAGTTACTCAAGTCATGTAAGACTACAAAGCCTAGGGAGATAAATATATTTCCAGGCCACAATATAAGTTCAATGGACTGCAGAAATAGCCCTGTATAGAACAGCTTGTTGGCACAGGTAGCTCGTCTGACTCTGCTGTGAACTGTTCCTGTGCTCTTGGCACGGGGAGAAAGGCTGTGTGTAGGGGCCGTTCAGCGAGCAGGAGCTGCACACCACAGAACGCGTGTTCTCTGCTGCCCTAACATCCATTAAACGTTTTGCCAGTGGTTGGAAGTCAGATTACGCTGCCCGATGTCTTGCTTCCACTGAAGCCTCTCGGCCAAGCACCAAGGAGCCATACCAGCTCTTTTGTGGCTGCCTCCTAGACACAGTGGCAAATCACAGCTTAATTGATTGACTGGAGAAATGACTGCGATCCAAGTGAAAACACCCAACAAACATAGAAGGGAGAGAAAGAATTTTAGGTCTGAAAGCACAGCATCTAAAGCGACTGAAGTGTTGCCATCCATAAAACAAAAGTGTTGCCATCCCTTATTTAATCAATTCAAATTGAATTTTGACACTGACATTCTGCTGTCAGATCCTGGCAGTGCTGTCCTTAATCATCTGCAGCTGTGCTCTGCTGCACAACTTCTACTGAAGGGTAATAACTACATGGCGTGTAATATACCCCCATGTGGCAACACTCTAAATATTTAGCAATCTTTTTTGTTTTGACCCATAACACCTGTTGAATAGATTGTTCTCCTTCTCTTGGTCAGCCTCAGACTATGTCCTCTTACAGTGAATTCATTTAGAGACAATAGAATCAAATTACTGCAGTTTAATTCAATTTTGCTTATTTGGATTTGAGAAAACTGGCTTAAGACTGAGCATTTTCCAGCATTTTCCTTTACCCAGTAATATTTTTGGTTCTTCACGTCATCTATTCAATATTTCAAGTAGAAGCACTATGTTAGATGCTCTGAGCTACCTTAGAGGGTCAGTGCTTTTAAGGACAGGAGCAGCAGGTGAGAAGTATTTATGCAACTCTTCTCTGGAACTTATTAGGATTTTGCTTTTTCTTTTTTTCCCCCCATCTTATTGATATATCAAAGTGCGTCATGGCTGTCTCAAAAACAATGCTTGGAGAGAAGCCTACTTGTGACAGTGAGGAAAACATTTATCTGAATTCATACTTGGCACTCACACATGACTGCTTTAGGCCAAAAATAAGCATGTGTTCAGGGTTCAGTGCATCTGTGACATACTCCATAGGCTCTGCTGGAATCAATGGGATCCTATGATCTCCCAATGAAATCACCACAAAGGTCAGGCATCTCTCATATTCTGATAATGAAGACCTGGACCACTACTTGTGACACCAGCGTATTGTGTGACCCCATTTAACTAAACAAAATCCTCCTGATCTTAGTAAAACTCCCCAGACAACCATGAATTAAGAACAGTAGAGAACAAGGGAGAACTGCTTTTCTTCCAAACTGAGTAATGACAGAATTTTGAAAAGCTAAGAGAATTAAGAGCTCGAAATTCCATTTTTGAATGGAGTTTAGGTGTCCAGAGTCAGATTTTAAAGCCTTTACATGTTTGCAAAGGTTTTTTTTTCTTTCTTTCTTTTTTGTAAAACCATACGCAAATGTCTACGTGGTAAAACCTAATTTTTAGGCATCCCATCAATCACTGCCATGAGGTGAACATCCAGGTTTATCTATATAATGCATAGGAAATCTTAGATTTCTAAAGAAATGGGCTGAGAGAAATCTATACCTTGAATAGGAGATTGTGGAGATAGTCCATACAATTTTGAAGCAAGAGACTTCTAAGCCCCACATACCAGAGTTTAGTGTCTAATTCTGGCATGGCGGGAGGAACCCATCATATATCATAATTCACCATTTTAATTTCTCACAAAAACATATGAGGAAGTGCTGTACTTTTACCAAGGGTAAAAGGAGAGCAATTTCCTGGAATCTGGAAGACAGTTTCAAACGTCCCTTCAATATGATGTCAGTCGAGCTCTCCCAGGTTAGTAGAGTATCAGGTAATCCCTATGGCTCTACTCTTGAACTGCTTCACTTTCCATAAATCATTTAACATTCACTGGATCATGACTGAAGCCTGACAGCAAAGGAGAAAGCCTGAAAAACTAACTCTCATGCTTCCTATCTTATCTAGTCAATATTTAAGAATTTTATGAAATGTGAAAAAAAAAGCAGAGACAAGAAATCAAGAAATGCCCTCCTTTGAACATTCCACAGCTCCAAAGGTTTTGCAGTCCTTGATCCAGACCTTTAAAGGAATGTGACTGATTCCCCATTTGTGAATATACTGCCACAAAGAATTTCAAAAGATGCCCAGCAGCTTATTTTCATGGTACCTTTATCCCCTTGGCAACATGGTTAAACAACTAAATGGGTTTGTTGATAACAGCTGAGTCTTTTCTGAAAATTGCATTTAATCTCCACTAAAGTAAGTAATTAAGGTTAAATGTATAGGTTTGAATTAACTCCCCTGATCTTCCTCTGTAGTTGGTGGAATCTTCTTCTTTGTATTGCACTTAGTTTGGGTGGCTTCGAAGTCAGCTTTACGGAGAACTTTTTCCTAATCTTGCATTGTCTTGGTAACGGCAGGGTGGAGGATTTAATATTGCAACACCAAGTGGGGCTATGCCAGAGAAAGTAGCACTACATTGATTTTAAGAATTTTACTTCCAATTACTTCCCCACCCTGCAGTCCTTTAGTATAAACTGAGACATCCGCAATGTGATCAGCTCTAGAAAAGAAGTCCTGTCATCAGGTTACCAATGCAACAACTGCAGATGTCTGAACTGATAGAAACCATCCTTCTGGATGGTGAAATCACCAAGCACAAAGACACTACCACTGTACTGCCTCCACAGTGATGAATTTCATATAGCTTCAAATTTCAAGAGGTTCTGAGGTCTACCTGTGCAGGTACAAAATATGTGGTGGCACCACCTCTCAATTTCATCTCTAGTCCATTCTGGACTATTTATGCTGCCAAAGACAACTTAGAGCAATCATGGTTCTGCTATGTTATACCACCAAAAGTAAATAAATATATTAGTATTAAAAAACCTCATGAGTTCTTTGTGATTTTCCTTCCCCCCTTTCAAATCGTGCCTTTATACAACTTTACTTAAGAATCTTGAGCTAGAAGCCAGAAAAATAACACTTTCCAACCTCAAAGTAACCACAGAACACTTAATGAATGTATTACCATCTGTCAAATGCACAGGGTGAGGTTCAATTTAGCTGATAATACCTAATTCACAGTGACGCTCTGTTTTCAGCAAAAGGTTACTTGATGCTGAACAATGAGATTAACAAATCCTGACAAGCACAGAATTACAAATAATGTAACAAAAGTTAATAATTGGCAAAATTTTGCTCTCAGTTACACTGACATAAAAGAAGAGTAACTTCACACTGTCAACAAGCTATTCCGT